ATATATATATATATATATATAATGTCCCTATCTGACTAGATGTGACTTAACTTTTATATACACGTTAATTAAGCCATTTATATATATACAGAATATTTCCTCTCTGACTAGATGTGACTTAACTTTTACATACACGTTAATTTAGCCATATATATATATATACAGAATATCCCTATCTGACTAGATGTGATTTAACTTATGTATATATACGTTAATTTAGCAATATATATATATACAGAATGTCCCTATCTGATTAGATGTGACTTAAGTTTTATATACACGTTAATTTAGACATATATATATATATATATACATAATGTCCCTATCTGACTAGATGTGACTTAACTTTAATATACACGTTAATTTAGCCATATATATATATATAATGTCCCTATCTGACTAGATGTGACTTAACTTATGTATATATATGTTAGTTTAGCCCTATATATATATACAGAATAATTCCTATCTGACTAGATGTGACTTAACTTTTATATACACGTTAATTTAGCCATACATATATATATACAGAATGTTTCCTATCTGACTAGATGTGACTTAAGTTTTATATACACGTTAACTTAGCCATACATAGATATAGCATGTTTCCTATTCAACTTAACGTTCCTTGTCTTTTATCTATTAATGTTATGTAGTTACCAGTAGAATATCTCCTACCTGGACTAACATGTATTTTTTTCCATTGTCTGTCGGGGTTTTTCAGCCCATCAAGATGACAATCGGTATTCGTTTGTCGCCCCACGAAGAATTTCTTGGAGCAGATTATGTCGAACATAACATAGTACATAAAGAGACAAACATCATCTTCTCTCGACCATCTACAGCACGGGATAGGGCCATAGCCAGCAGGGCTAACCTAAACAGTGTCGTATGTGATCAGGCCACAAGGCGAGAAACAGTTTCGGTGCATTCGGATACCCAAACGTCGATTTCTGATGTGATTGCACTGACCGATTTCCCTGACCAAACCGTTAACTCGACAGTCATGTCAGGAGAGAGTAAACCCAGAAGGGGACTTCCACCAATTCCATGTTGTTGCTGCAAGCACAAACAACGAGCGTTGGTTATCAGTTCTTAACCTCGCAGAGCTAATCCTGGATCTATAGACGATGAGATATGTTCCACATATGCTAAATTAAACTGAATGTATTTTGCAACAATTATGTAACAAGTTATCAGCTCTTGTTGCCTCGGATGGAAGCAAACATGGGCTCTTGATATGGAGGGAAGCAACTGTTGAGTATAGAACCGTGTAAATTCTGATGTCCTAGTGGTGCATAGGACCCCGACCGTGAAAAGCGTATGCGCTAACCCATGCGCCATCCGACTCTTACTACATGTGCTACTTCATTATCATTTACAACAAATAACGGCATTACGAGAACTTGTCATCCTTGAAAGTCCAAGTGTTACGCTCTCTTACTTTCTCCGTACCGTTGGAATATGCCACGACGAAACTGAAGGCTTTATCCGCGACACTTTGTGAATGGTATAAGTAGAATTGCGCTTGGGCGGAACGGTAAAATTAAACAGCTTTACCGTCGGATCGACTCATACGTAATCTTCAAAGAACAGGTTTCAGCCAAACGATTGATCAGGGGTTTTCACCTGAAATCAATCAAATAGCTACAGACGTAAGTATCTGACCGTTACCCCAGGAATGTCGAGATTACAAATGGGTGTGTACAGTGATAATCACCGAGATTGTTTAGGCAAATATTAAAAAAAATGTATTGTTGAAAAGACTGTCATTCAACGTAAAATTGTTGCCATGCGAAATGAATTAAATAATACATGATGACAAAATAAGCAGTGTTACTAAAAGATTATTTTTTTTTCATTTTTGTCTAGTTATGAGATAAAAACTCCAGTTGTACACTAGTGAGTTTATCATAAATGGGTTCGCCATCTATTCATTTATTTACTACTGCTTATGTGGTGTATAATTTTTCAAATTATACACATAAGATGGCTTCGCCATTTAATCAATTATTTACTCGTGCTCTGCTTCATTATCACATCATAGCGTGAACAAAATGTAAACATGTTCCTATAATTTCCTGTGAAGGATTCGTAACTACCTTAAATATTCGGGAAAAGATTCACCAGCAGGAATTGAAAACCTATTTTGCGAGCTTTTGAACACGTGTTTCCTTTGTCATCTTCGGTCATTTACACTCTTTGCTTGACAAAGGAAACAGACGTTTTCGAAAGTTCACAAAATCAGTTTTCGATTCCTTTCAAACTTAGCCCGTATTACCTTATAAATTAATATGATCAGCTGATGAAAAATTTATTTTCAAAACATGTTGACGAGTAATCGGTTCAATAAAAGTAACAGCCTTGGTTAACTCCGCAAACAAGCACTGTTGATGACATCACACAATTGCCCCGCCAACATGAATTGGTGTTCTTCGTCATGGAGACTTACATTGTAAGGTTCTGAGATGATAACTCTAATTTACGGGAACAATGGGTGAGTGTCCGACTGTAAACATACAACGTTCCATTATATAGCTACATTTGTGCATGTGTATGTATACAACATTTTACAAGAGACATCGATTGATATAGTAATAACAAAAGCGCAAAGCTTAGAGGCAATCCGTTCTTTTATTATGCAAAATGAAAAACAGAAAAAAAGTTATACTGAATTAGTCTACTGGTGTTAAAGTACATCTCCTTCTACGGTTCAGAACCGAATGCCATTTATGAAAACATAAATAATGAATATTAAAATTCGATCGTAGGTGATATAACTGCGTTTTAATATTTACTCATGATTAAAATATATATTAATTAATTCACTTCGGTGCAAATTCTGAATATGAATTTTTCGTTATAGACATCGGCTTGCTGCCAGTCGATGGGTTTACTTTAACACAGTATGAAAATTCAGTCGACCTCATATATAGTGAAGTATCGATGTGGATGTGACCAGGAGAAACGACATTTGACCTTATACCCCTTCACACGGATAGATAACGTCAACAGCCCTCCATTACGTAAACACCTATATACTTATATTGATCACTTTACAAATAGTACAGATAACCATCTCTTAGTTTGGTATTCTGCTTTATAATTCATGGATAGCGTCAGACATTTTCCTGGTAAACATCAAGCCTCACCTAGATGAAAAGATATCGTAATAAGGTATACATTGGTATACCTTTCATCTCTTTACACCGTATGAATTTATTCTAGCAACTTCCTTCTCTAATGAGTCATGAATGGACGATATTGCCATTTGCTGAAGTATTTATTTACTTTTTTTTGGCTTTCTGCTTCAACAAGCTATTTCCCTTACATCTTATTCCTTGCAACCAATTAAGGTAATAAGCTGATTGTCACTGCTTGTGGACTTGAGTCCCTGAGGTTGGCAGTAATGCAGCTGGAATTTATATAGGAGCAGTGTACATGACAAACTACTTAAAGAATAAATTATCTGATACGGCAAAAGTTCTACAATGGCCCCTCCTTTGTTTTCAATTTTTCTTTTGGTGAGGTTTAGACCTAAACCTTATCACAATAAAGGCGACAACCAAAATTTAAATGAGCACTTGGTCCGTTTTTCGTAGAAGTATAAACATGAAATTCTCAATGAGTCGGAGTTTATTCTCAAAAGGCGAATCTTGTCAAACTAATGATGCATTGAAGGATAATTTCTGATGCAACCATAACATAGGATCATATGCTACAGTACACGAGTAAAAATATCTGGCTATGGTGAGTTATCAGATATGTACAGACAAATCAATCGCCGGAAGCCATCTCAAGCAATGATATTTTCCAGACAAAAAAGATGTGTTCATCTCAGTATAAAAGTATCAAAAATATTTTGATTATAAAAGGACTAGGTCATGAACTACCAGTGGCAAACATATCAATCCAAAATATCTGGTGGAACATATTCAAAGGAGGGATCAAATGGTCATATGGTCTATACATCAGAATCCATGGCTATGTGTATAGTCTAATCATTATGACTGCAAACTGACAGAAAAGAAGAAAATAATTGTTCCAGTTTAGATGGAATGAGTATTTAATCAACAGAGAACATGTTTTGAAATGATTCGTTGGTTTATTCCTTTTCATGATGGCCATCAAAACATTCATTCTTCTGCCAAATCAGTTTCCAGATTCCCAGACAATTATTTTGCAATATCAATGGAATTCAGCGATTGTATGTTTGTTTGTTACTTTGTATTTATATATTTATTAAAGTTAGACGCCGTATTAACAGCTGGTAATATTTATAGATAAGTGTTTGCGAGATACAAGAGTATGATATGTGTTCGAATGGCAGACTTGGGGGAAAAGGAAGAAGAAAAAAATGATTCAAGGCTTTTAGTTTGTTTTCAAACCGGTGATTCTAGTTTCACAAGATAAAACATATTTCAAGCTTTGTCGGAACTTCTTAGCCCTTGGGTGTAACTGTTTTGGATTTTGAAGATTTCTATGATAGCCAAGACAATAAAGAATACTTGATATATGAGCACACATTTCGTATTGTTCTTTGACCAACTAGGCATTGGCAGTAGTAATCTGTTATTGGATTATTATCATTTGGTGTCGTGCTGTACTGAATCCAAACATTACATTTAGTCTGGCTTTTGTGTCTGGAACAAATCTGACAACAGCTGAGGTTTTGAGAGTGCTGATTGACAATATTTCATAATCGTTACGAATTATGATCAGTCTCCGGTGATCTTTTGATGCCTCTAACATTGGCAGGACATCTCTAAAACCACGATCAACGACTACATTGTCGTCTTGCTCCAACCATTTGAGATTGTCTATGATGTTTTTGTAATGCTTGCATTATTGTGGCTTCCAGGGAATGGTCCTACTGTGTCCAAAATGTAACCATCAGGTAGAGCTATGCTCATGAATTTAAGATAATTATGCTCCTTTGGCCACCGTAAGACATTCTCTTAAGCTTATTGACAGCACGTTTTTGAATATAAATATATGTACCATCTATTAAGGCTGTCACTTTGTCTCCAAAGAATGTTTCTGAGAATAAAGTATTGTGTGAAAGTAGTTGTTCCCTACTCAAATGTTCAGGACCAAGGAACACTGGAACTATAGACTTAGTCAATGCTTGTACTACAGAATGAAAGGTTTTTGAAAAACAAGGCAGGAAAATGCAAAAAAAACAAAAACGGAACACTTAATAACAAGAGATTTCACTTTTCTTCAAAACCCAAAATAGTAAAAGAGCATTTTGTGTAGTTTTGGTATATACCGGAGAAGAAAGAAAAGGGACAAACTACGTATGGATTTTGAGGAACTTTTCTTTGACCAACCTGTCCAAGCTTTGTAGCCAGGATCATCCAAGAGACAAAAATTTAGAGTTAAGGCTGATTGAGTCTTTGGTAAGATTAAACTATCAAGCTAATGCGCACCACAGAATATTTTCGTTGCCAACTGCGTTCATACTACCGTATACGCCGTCATAATGCCGGCCAAACCTTAAATGTGTGCCGGAGACAAGATATGTTGGTGTACTTGCCTCCTTGAGCGCGGATCTGATGCCGACTTAATAGTGCTATCTCACTGAAATGCAATACCGAAGGCACCTAGCACATCATTCCTCCCAGCCACATTATACTGACAACGGGTGAACCAGTTGTTGTCGTTACCCTTAAAGCTGTACTTAACGTTCAGGGAATAACAACTACCAACTTTAAAGATTTTGGCATGTCCCGGTCTGGGGACAGAACCCATTGCCTTCCTCACCTGGGCGAACGCTCAACATTAAAGCCAGAAGGGAGGTATTGCCAAGCAATGCGCTAGCAAATAAAAAGTAGTTAGAAGTAGAAAAAAAATAAAGATCCCAAAGGTTGCAATGGGTGCAGCAGATTCTATAAATAGTAGTTGCCCTTGATCTTAACATCGTGAAATCCTCTATACATATATACATCTATTGTACTTTATCGTCTCCTCACTGTAATAATAATCATCAAATATTTCATACATTTTAATTCGCCAGGCTTAAGTTAAAATATAATGACCTAGGATTGTTCCCCATCCTCTGTAATGTTTTTGTGGGTGTTTTTTTTTTTATCTGTTTCAGTTTATTTGGTTTTGCGATTGTGTGTTTGATGTCATAGGTTTATATATATTGTTTTTGCATCAGTGTCTCAGTGTATGTCTTTATGTATGTACATGGGATTGGCAATTTTTTGCTTAATATCTGCTTATGTGTTAATAATAATCTCTTATATGATGATGATGATGTCTGATGATGATGATGATCTTTGTTTGATATGTATGAACAATCATGTACTTAGGAACAATGTCATATATGTTTTGTCTTGTCTTGTAAACAATGAAAAAAATGAAGAAAAAAAAACCCATCCTGAAACACAAACTCATTCGAGATATTGTTATAATTTATCATTGTTATGAGTTTGATAAACGTCCATCAAGAATTGAAGTCGCTATAGTGATGCTTAAAAGTTAAAAGTTAAAAACACCATAACGGTGTTTGATATATAAAGTTTATTTATTCAACAACATATATGAAACAAGTTCTTCCAACTTATATCAATCACTCGTGTTAGCCCAGATGTTAGCTCACGGAGGGTGTTGATGTGGGGAAAACCGGAGTAACCGGAGAAAACCCACGAGGTCGAGTAGGTGACTCAAAACGTTTTCACGTCGATAGGGGAATCGAATCCCGGCCGGCTAGGTGAAAGGCAAATGCGTTATCCACTGCGCCACCGGGTGTCAAATCACTTTTGATGTCAAAATTATAGGAATCTAGGACCTTTTTTTTGGAAAATTTAGGA